GAAAAGTCTAGGGAAAAAAAAAGTTTGGTATACCATGAAAGTACCGTAGGGGCCGGTTTACCTGTATTAAGCACTTTGACGGATTTAATAAGGACCGGTGATAAAGTAATTAAAATTGAAGGGATCTTTTCGGGCACTTTAAGTTATATTTTCAATGAATTCTCCAAGTTTGATGGTGAAAAAAAGAAATTTTCGGAAATTGTGAAGATTGCCAAAGAAAATGGTTATACTGTGGGTATTATAAGTTTATTTTTTTTTTTTTTTTTTGCCAAATTAGACGGTAAATCTTATGTTTGATCTGCCACTTATTTAGGAACCAGATCCGCGCGATGACTTGAACGGATTAGACGTTGCTCGTAAGGTAATAAATGAATATCATGGAGATATCACTTTCACCTTCACTATATTACTTCATAACTCTCTCTCTTTTCTTGTTCCACCAAGGTTGTCATTTTAGGTAGATTAGCAGGAAAAGATTTATCCTTAAAAACGTTACCCGTTGAAAATGTAGTTCCTGAGCCATTGCGCACCTTATCAAGTGCCACAGAATTCATGTCATCATTACCACAATTTGATGAACACTTTGAAAAATTGAATGCTACTGCAAATAATAATCAACAAGTATTAAGATACGTTGGTGTTATTGATCCTATTGGTGATAAAAGTGAAGTCAAATTGGTCAGGTATATCAAATCAATATATTTTATTTTAAATTTGTAAATCCTGCTCAGGAATGATACTAATAATTTTACATTTTACATTTCTTTGAAAATTAGTTTGCCATCTTCACATCCTTTTGCTTCACTTAAAGGTAGTGATAATATTATTGCTTTTACTACTCAAAGATTTCCTAATCCTTTGATTGTTCAAGGAGCTGGTGCCGGAGCTGCTGTAACTGCATTTGGCATTTTCTCTGATTTATTTAAAATTTCCGATAGATATTTTAAGTAATGTTTTATTACATTGTTTGAAATATATTTTTTATTAATAAAAAAAAATTATTTTTATAAAAAGTCTATGTTAAATTTTTATAAGACAGAAAAAGAAAAGAGAAAGAAAAAAAAATACACGACAACTTTAACATAACTTTTAGATTTATAATATTCTTTCATCTAAATTAATTACAAGGTTAATTTTTCATCACTTCCTTCTTGTACACGTTTAAACCCATTATCTTGACCGCGAGTTTTATTCCATAATCGGAAAGATAAGAAAGAAAATGCAACCATAAGGATGAACAAATAACCAAAATATATATAGAGATAGATCTTTTTCGCTCCATAGAGTTTAAGTCCAAATGGAACTTGAATAATTGCCAATGAAACTAAAGCTCTTCCGAACCACCTAGGAATAAAGAAGAAATAAGTAATTATCATAATCACCATTATTAATATTTTTTTTTAAAAAAGGTATATTATTAACTCACCAATGAAGTTGAGTCCACCATGGAGTGTAAGAGCGATTTGGATCGAACAATTTATGATGAATTGCACCAATTGCTAATTGTATAACAATTCCAAGGAGAAGCACGAATCCAATGACCTAAATGAGAGATGATAATGGCGTAAGGAATCAAGTGAATAAATGATATCAATTATATTATACTCGATGATATTTATTTACCTTGTGAGGATCGTTAAATTCAAGTTTTCCAGCAGCAACGTAAGCTAACACGCTACCAGTCACGATAATAGGGAAGGAGAGAAAGATTTGAATACCAACATGTAATTTGAACCATGTCGTTCGAAGAGCATCTCTTGCAAATCGTGCAATGAAAATTGCACCGGGAATAATAACAATCCAGGCGAGGAACATCAAAGAACCTACATTTAAAAATTATTAAAATTATTAAAAAAAAAAAAATAAAATTCGTGGCTATCACCAAAATAACTCGTGACATAGTAAGAACAATGTGCTCACCATGGGCGATCATCATCTTATCATATCGGGACCATACAACTTCGCCTTTTCCAGTTCCATCCAACTTCAAGATTATATTGCCTTTGTGATCGTGACGGCTTAAATAAGCATCAACTTGAGAGCTTCCCGGATTTATCGAACAATAAGCATATCCAAACTTTTGTTTATGTCGTTTAATATTGCTGTGTTTAACCTTAATAGGACGAGTAAATTCAACTATTAATCTATTATTTTCATTAATACCACTGGTATTGAGAAGTTTAAGATCATTTTGTCGGTCCGTTATCCATGGTTGAATTCCAATATCTCCTCGACGTTGTGAGAGATTTATTTGACCTAATGGGTCAACCCAAGCGACCTTTTACATAAAAAAAAAAAAAAAAAAAAATTATTCGAATTCACAGTATGAAGTAACATAACCACCACTTTGTAACAATTACTTACCATCAAATAACCTTTCATACCATCGCCAATTCCTAAACCAATCCAACTGTAGTTGAATAGTAAATAGGAATTAGATAAATGTTCATAAATTATAAATTATTATATTATTGTTTTATGATAATTACCCGGCGTCGGCGGGAGCTTCAAGACGGAAAGTTGCAAGTTGGTCATGTTTGGGTGTGGTTATTGGTGTCAGCGTAATTGTAAAACAATAATCGACTTCTTTAATACAATAATTAGTTTGACCGATAACGACTACATGAATCAAATAAGGTTCAAAAATTATATTATTATTTCTTGAAGAAAAGTGCTTTAAAATGCGCAAACGTCACTTAAATAATATACCTTGGACAAGCGTAAAGTAAAGGACAACTGCACACCAAAGGTTTTTCATTAAATTTATGGACATAATGTACAACAAAAATTGAATTAATTATTTAATACTTAGAATGCAGTACAAATTTCCTACAGTCAAAATATTAAATAAAGACAACTTTTATTGAAGTAAAAAAAAATTATGAAACCGGAACATTTATGCCTAATTCCTTTTTTCTATTTTTAGGAAGGAAACAATTCATTATATAATAAGTTTTTTTTTTTTTTATAAATATTTTATAATTGGACAAGTTATTTCTAGATTTTTCAGATTTTCTATAGTTTGTGTTACTTAAGTTACTGAAGATGGATTATCAGGATATCAAACCTGAAATCACAAACAAATAACTGAAACAAGTTATAACATATTTGTCAATCATTTATAATTCTTTAAAATTCTTGTTCTATAAGACCATAGGTAAGTATTGCATCAGATTCATAAATGGTGAAATATTTTCCAACGATAGAATTAGGTCCATCTAATCTAACCGAATTCAAAGTAAAGCTAAATAATGTAGCCTGACCAAAAGACATTGGGACAAATAGTCCAGTAAATTCATGCAGAAGTTGATTACCGTCCATAATAACGAATCTATAATTTCCATCTAATTTATTTAATGGGACACTTATTTTTCCTGAAATTGTGGTTTCTCCATCCGGCGGTTGAAAGAATGTCATTAAACCATTAACTTGTTGTGTATTTGCTGTTGCGACTTTAGCTTTTGAAAAGAGAGCATAGCCAAGAAAAGCAGTTTCGGGAAATTTTCCACCTTCCTTTGGAGTCGGTTCACCTCCGCCAGGAGCCTTTCCATCTCCTCATGGGCCACCTCCACCGGGAGCCTTTCCATCTCCTCCTGGGCCACCTCCACCGGGAGCCTTTCCATCTCCGCCTGGGCCACCTCCACCAGGAGCTTTTCCATCTCCGTCTGGGCCACCTCCACCGGGAGCCTTTCCATCGCCTCCACCTCCACCGGGAGCCTTTCCATCGCCACCACCTCCACCGGGAGCCTTTCCATCACCACCACCTCCACCGGGAGCCTTCCCATCGCCACCTCCGCCAGGAGCTTTTCCATCTCCGGCTGGAGCTTTTCCACCTTCCTTTGGAGTTGGTTCACCTCCATTTGGACTTTTCCCACCATCATTTCCTCCCCCTTTTGTTTTTCCTGATGGCGACTTATTTTTCCCATCATGTGGTGCACAGACTGATATAAAACTTAATAAAATTATAAAGATAAATAAAATTCCATAAAACGATTTGTATTTATGAAATTTCGTCATAATTAATCTTTGTAACAAATTGTTTATTAATAAAAAATAAAAAAAATTTTGAAACCGAGATTCTTTAATTTTATTAAATTAACATTGCCCAATTTGTTAAAATTTTTTTTTTTTTTATTTATTTATTTATTTATTATTATTTTTAGCGTTCAATTTTTTTTATTTTATTTTATTTTTTTTTTTTTTTTCGTTTTAAAAAAAACGAGTAAGGAGCTCATTGTTCTCAACAGTCTCCTTTTATATTAATTATTTCGAAATTGATTTACCCACAGATTTGCCTAGGACAATCATTACCATTGTTTTTTCTGTATCACATATTACTATTTATTAAGTTTTATTAATAAACCATCGAATCAGGATCGGATGTGAGCATGAGATTATATAAAACGGGTTAAGTCAACAATAACAGGTGAATTATTTTTTTTTTTTTGCCCCGATAATCTTTACTATTTATGACGTAATCAGAATGAACAAGGAAAATTGGCATATCATCATTGTTTTTATTAAAAAAAAAAATTAAAAAAAAAAAGCCGAAAACCCTAATATAAATAATATAAATTAGTTTTATAAATTAGTACCATTGTCAGAATTGTTCGAATTGTTTGGATCGTTTGAAGTGTGCGGATTAAGAACTTGTGGTGTATACCATCCACGTGAAGCATTGGCCCCAAATACAACACCATCTTCTTCATCACTATCCATGGTATCAAGAATCTCTATATTTTCTCTACTAGTCGTTTCTAAACCTTGATCAGTCTGCGATGGTTGTACCAACGTATTCGTCGTATTAATATTGTTTGATAAATTTGGATTTGGTCTATTTATTACCATCAAATATTTATTTTTTCCATTGTCCGTCCGTGATTTATTATGGTTTAACGAATCATGTTCAATGTTTTTATCTTGTACTATTATATTCTCCTCTTTATCCTCCCCGTCATAAATCCAACTCTTAGATAAGGAACTATGTGAATTGTTCGAGAGTCTTTTCATTGCAAATTGTCTTGAATTTCTCGATAAATAATATTCTGCCTTATCCCATTGTTGTGAATTTGCTGCAATGGTTGAACGAGATGATGATGATGATAATGAAGGACTATCATCATCTACATAATTTTCAATATCCTTGTGTTTTTGACGTGCGTATATTTCAGGAAAACTAGATCCGTAAAGACTTTGATGACGTTGATGTGCAACTTGCAATGTTTGATTTTCGTCAGATGGAAGGATATTGATCGGAGATGATGATGATTGATAATGAGTTTTATGTGAATAGATGGGAGATCCTAATAAAAAAAATTGGATTTTTTTTTTTTTATAAAAATTAAATTTTCAAATGAAAGATAATATTCTACAGAATAAATACCCAAAGATGATAATCCTTCTGATATAGATTTGGAGCGTTTACGAAGATTTCCTATGGTAAGGTTTCCAAGTGATAATGAAATCTTTCGAAATTTCTTTTTTAACCGATCCTAATATAAAAAAAAAGAATGAATGTAAATATTATTCGGCATGGTTAATCTCATCATAACTCACTTTCAAAGTATAGGCGCTTTTGACTTCTTCGTCAGTTACTGTGACAGCTTTATATCTCTTTGGATCTGTTTCTTCGCGCCATTTCTCCGGATTTGGTATATCTGCCACAACCCATGGATGTTTCTAAAGAAGTGTAAAATTGTAAATAAATGCTTCAAACGAAGAAACCAAAGGGTTTTATAGATACCTTGACTTCTTCCAAAGTAATTCGGTTCTTTGGATTTTTCTCTAATAACTTCATAAGCAAATCCCTTAAATCATCCGATACCGGTATGCCTTCAGGAAATCCTAAAGGCTGCTTTGGAATGACATTGAAAAATAGCTCGAATTCGGTATCAGCTATAAAGGGACATCGACCGAAAATAAAGCAATAAAGGGTCACACCGAGTGCCCATATATCAATTGCTTTTGTTTTAGGAGGTCGTTGTGTTCGCATATTGATAGCATTATTTGACTGCGAATTCGATTCAGAAGAATGATCAGAAGAATATGATGCGTTATCTGAAATAATCGAGGCAGACGACATGTCTTGCGTTAAGTCACCTTAAAAAATAAGAATAATATATTAATAATCTCAAAGATTGACTAAAATTGCAAAACATGTTTATTATTTACCGGGAAAACATAATTCTGGAGCAAAAAAAGCTGGACTTCCTGCAGTCTTTGCTAAATCTGAGTCTTCCGAAGTTTTTGTTTGATGCTTTCCACGTAAGGTTAACGTCGATTTTTTTTGACTAAAATGTGATACACCAAAATCGGAAATTTTAACTACATTATCGCCCGTAAGCAATAGATTGGCTGGTTTTATATCGCGATGTATAATTCCTTGATGGTGAACTTTATATGTAAAATTCATTTTAAAAATATATTATAAAATTATGATTTAACTGAAAATAAATAATTTCACTTACGGTATTCTAAACCTAACACAACATCTCTAAAAATTTGTCTTGCCCGCTCTACGCTCATAATAGGTCGATCGTATTCATCTTTCCATTGTATTTCTCCACCTTCCATGTACTCGATTACTGAAAGTTTCGATTCGAATACACGAAAATGAAATAAATAAAATAAATATGAATTATGATAGAATGAAATAATAAATTTTAATTATTTATTAATAAAATTTAAAAAAAAAAAAATAAAAAATAAAATAATAAGAAATTAAATTATTTATATTTTTTTTTTTTTAAAAAAAAACACCTTCCAAAGCTTATTGCAAACCACAATGTTTCCTACCCTGCTTGCGTTTCAATCCAACAATCAAACATACCCATATAAATCTTTCTGCTCATCGGATCATCAATAACTTCTTTTAATCTTACGACGTGTGGGTGGATACATTTTTTCAGTATCGCAATTTCTTTTCTAATTTTTTGTTCATTCGTGAGATCATTACGTTGTCCTAAACGACGACGAGTAATCCGATCAACTATTTTTATAGCCTATATATTATATATGTATATAAATTAAATTGATTTTTAATGTGCCCTTTTTTTTTGTTTTTTTTAATATAAATACCAATTTATCTCTAGATTTTTGATTTTTTACATTAAAATTATAACTTGTATTATAAATAATACATATGTTACTAAATTTTTTCGTCATACTTCTATATTAATCAAATAAAATACAAATACTCACAACCCATTCACCAAATTCCATATCCTTTCCTAATTTTACTTTACCATGCACTCCTCTGCCTAATTCTCTAACTAGCATATACTTGTTAATAATCTTATTTCCTGTATTAGGATCATAGTCCTTGTACATAGTGTTCGTCTCTTTAACTTCTATAGAAGGGGTAAAACTATGACGGTGAATTATTTTATCTTTTTTACTGTAATCGTTGCCATGAGAACTAAGTTGCTGTGAAGATTGACGACTATGATTAGAATGCGAGCCAAAGAACGAAAATAGAGATTTAGAAGTTATGGGTGATGAAACAGATTTATTACTGTTGCCTTTAGTTGATAAAGTTGATTCTGACATTTTGTTAACTTTTACTATAAAAAAAAAATTTTTACCAAGACGCGATGAAATTAAATTTTTTAAATTTGTTATTATTAACACGCATAATTCGGGAAAATTTGCAACTATTATTTTCAACCTGGTGCATGAAAGTTGATCACTTATTATTTTTCGGGCTATGTACAATAATATCTAAACAGGAATTCAAATATTATTATTATATTCAAATATTATTATTAAATAATATAAATTAAATAAATGAATTATTTATTTTTAATTTATATGTTATACTTTTCTTTTTCTAATTAATTAAATAAATACTTTATATTAATTATAATTTTTATATTATTAGATACATTAAAATAAAATTATATAATACATTCAGAATTTGATATAACAAACTTATTGGATAATGATTTTGATTCATTATAATAAAAATTCAGAATAATGAGTTTTTCTTGATATATCAATTTAAATAATAAAAAAATAAAATTCATTATATCAAAATTTTAACATTATTTTACAATAAATGTAGTGTAGTTATTATTTTATATTTTTTATTATTTGATTATTATATACTATACTATTTTTTATTTGTAAAATTTTGAGAAAAAAAAATTTAATTGAAGGCAATAAACTTATTTATATATAATTGAATTAAAGATTTTGATTATTTAATTTTTTGAGATAAAGTTTTTGCTTTTATCCTATAGATAATATATTACTTTTTTTCAAAAATATGGTAAAGATGAACAATAAAAAAAATAAAATCTTTTAATTAATATTTATATTAATTTATTTAATATTTGATATTTTACTAAATTTAATATATTAAAAAAATTAAATTTTATAACAATAACGATTAATCGTTAAATTAAAAAAATCATTTTTTATAATAACTATTTATATATAAGAAAAATATCATTATTAATTTATTGTGAACAAATAATTATAGCTGATTACAACTAGAATTCAGTATATATAATATTGAAGATTTATAATAAAATCTCTATATACAGTCAGCCCTGTTTATAATCACCCCATATATAATCATATCCTGTTTATTATTATCTAATTTTAATGTCTCAAAATTATAATGTTAAAATATACTTTTTATAATCACCGCTATATACTAATCACTATTACCAATATAAAAGAAAATTGTATATTCAAACAATTATAAAATAAACTATTTATAATCACATATCACATGATCTATATTGAGGTTAAATGATCCAACTTAAAAAGTATACTTTTGAAACAGGTTTTTTACATTATACTAACTAAATTTTATTTAGATTATCAATCTTTTTTTTTATCTAAAAAAAACAACTTTGGGAAATTGCGGTATTTCTTTTAAAAACAGTTAAAGATCAGTTTTTTTTAAAGAATAGACAAATTGAAATAGTAGTGACTTCTTTAAGTAAGTTTGGTTTGTACATAGTTTTAAACTATTTTTTTAGTAAAAACTTTATGTTTTTCTTTAAGAATAAACAATTTAAAAATAAAATGACTTCTTTGAAAAACTTTATTTTTCTTTTAGA